AAATACATGAAAAGTTCTTCGAAATAAGAGGTGTCAAGAATATTTTATTTTATCAAATAACCAATGAAAACGTAGAAATAAACAAAAGTTCCCGCAACTGCTGAAAAAGCAAATATTTTGGGACGGAGGGAGTATTTATTATCGAGACGTCAAAAAAGTCAGGTCTGTTTGGGAATAACGTTAGAGATTAGCGTTAGCGTTTTGGATAAAATTTTAACGGTGCAGATTATTTTGAAAACGCTAATGCTAAACGCTGCCCGTAGATAGCCTTTTCAAAACGTCAACACTAATCGCTAACGCTATTTCCAAACATGCCCGTCATTTTTTAATATGTTGGTTTAAGAAAAATGATATTTTTGGACGAGTGCCCAACAGATTCAAGACATTAAAAGAAGTCCTCTTTTATTTTTAAAATTAAAAGAAATACGTTTTTTTGGTCATCACAAGTATAACAATATTTTAGACATCTATAAAAGGATTTTATTAGCACACTCAATAGTTATATTTTCAATTTTTAAGAGTATATTTGTGTCTTTATATTTTTCATTTCTTTCTCCATTTTGTATATTATCACGTCTCAATTTATTTGTCTAGTTTGACTTTCATTAGTTAAACTCAATAACATTAAGCTTTAATTATTCTCAATTTGTATTGTATATATTAGTAAAAATAAATGAAATTTTAAAAGGTTTCAATAAGATAAATCTAATAAAATCATTTTTATACAAGTATATATTACAATTTTTTTAAATTGAAGATCGAAATTTATCCAGCTGGACTTAAAGAAACGAAACTGAACAAATATACTGGAACGCAAAAAATACTTTTTAACTCAACCACAAACAATTGTGAAATTTTAAATTTTATTGAAAATAATTGGTAAAGAAATTAAAAAACCATCTAAGAAAAAGAAACAACGAGAAGAAAAAAAAGGGGAAAATCCAAAAAAAGAAATATGGAAAATAAACTTTGTTATCCCGTGTAGTTTGGAAAATAAACACCACCGACCAATATCTCCTTTTCGCTAGAAAATTATCGAAGAATGATGAGAAGGTATGTGTGTGTAATGTTTTGAAACAACAAAAATTTTATAAATAGATTTTAGTTCAAAATGACGCCGGACATTGGGAATCAATGTCATGGATGACTCGGGGGTGCTCCGGTGTTTCGTTTGTAAAATTGACTGTTTCTAGTTCCCTAACCCTGCCGGTAAACCCCTTACCCCGCCCCAACCCAAACACACCCCCACCGCCTTCAATTGCACCCTCCAAGTTAATTTTGACTTTGGAGTCAAAATTCGACTAAAAACAAATGGAATTCTTTAAAGTCCCCAGCGAAAAATAAAAAATATTAATTATTTACTAAAAGATTACAAAATGTTTTGTTTTATCAAAATAATTAGATTACAAAATGTTCTATTTTATTAAAATAATTACTAAAAACAAGTAATTAAACAAAAGCTATTGAGAGACTGAAATAGTAATTGTGACATTTTTTTAGGAATACTTGCACTAAATAGCACTAAAACTTAAGTAATTTTCCTAAATAGCACTTCATAATGTCCATAATGTCTAGTGATGACGAACATTTGCTTGAATAATGACTAAAAGTGTTAAATGGGAAAAAAACACATGTGGTGCTATTTAAAAAAATCATTATATTTTAGTGCTATTTAATTAAATTTCTCTTCCTATTATGATCGAAGGAGTACTAGTCCTAAAAAATTTGGTAAAACGGAAATGTATTTGTCTCACCATACACAGGCAGACAAGGCTAGTAAAACCAGGTTACCATTCCCATGAAAGGATGTGTTGCATTGGAAAAAAGGGAATTGACTATCTTTCAAAGATGAAGATGGATTGGATCAAAAGTCGGAACAAGCTGGATATATATTCAACGAATATATTGTCAAATATTCCCTTCCCTAGGAAATTAAATACCAATTTTCTTTTCTTTCCAATTTAAAATCTCACATTGTTTTGGTCAATAGTCCAACACCAAAACAAGTTTTTTACGCCATTCGATCAGACGATCACTGAAAAGAGGTAAGTTAGACTTCAATTGCAGACTGATGGCTGAGTGTAGAGCTTGCACCTGTATTTGCAGAGGCCTTATGCTTCGCACAGTTGCCTCTGGGCAAAATTGTAAGAAATCAAACTCAAATCTATCCCTTGACACATCACACCTTTGCCAACTGTGCAACGCTCATTGACATTATCTATATTTATGTATGATACATTTGGTGTATAAATCTCGATGTACACCTAGCTCTCTTGGTGTAATTGAAAAAAAAAAGGATAAGCCCCATCTCCGAGATGTCCCTCAAATCCGGCCGGACGATTACTGAGAGGAAGCCAAGAGTGTAGCCTGGACATGTTGCTTGCAGATGCTTCCTAGCACAGTTACCAGAAATCGAACTCAAGTTGACGCCGTTTGTCTTTGTCAACTGCGTAGCGCTCAATTCCTCTCGGTGTAATTGAAGTAACCATTGGATGGGTGTGGGTAAAGATGTCATGCTTTAAAATTGGACAACAGTGGAAATTCTGTATAGATCAGAGCAGTAGAGAGAGAGAGAGAGAGAGAGAGAAAAGGGGCATTTATAGTCACGAGATTGAGACGGGAAAAAAGGAAACTTGTCTTGGATTTATAAGCTCTGACCACAGCTTCGTCCCATTGGTTCTTTCCATCCCCACTAGATTGTACACACTTTCACCACTCTTGTCTTTTTTCCTATTAATAACTACGGGGTACAGCCCCTATTACGGGCACTGCCCCTCCACCCCATACCATACCTAAAGATTCCTTCTTAATCCCACCTTCTACGGAGTATTAGTTAAAAAACCAAGAGGGTTAGTACTTAGTTGTCATGGATTTGGATCGGACTCTCTACATGTTTGTTGAGAATAAAAGAAATTGAACCGTAAATTTATCCATCTGTTTATTGGAAATAATGACTCTCCAATAACAGAGTTAGCTCAAGTTTTATAATTATGGTCATATTTTCTTAAACTTATTATTAATACTTACTCCATATATCTGTCTCATTCTCTTTGTTACTTTCATTGAGGCACACCGTTTTGATTTCAATTGAAGTTCTACGGAGTACTTGCTTAGTTCATCGCTTTGATCTCAATCCGGTCAAACCTAGAATGGGTCAATTCATCTTGGTCACCAATAGCGAGATCGATGCATTTAGCCGACGACGGCCATGGCGAGGTGGAGAGAACGTATTTAGCATCGGCGAACTATCTAGATCCGACAGGTCAAAAACTAGAATGGACCAATTACTTTATCTTATTGGAATCAGTTCATTCAGATCAAAAATAACTTTAAGTATAATCATATTTAGATGATTAGATTAGATCAGACAAGATTCGATCAGATCAAAATCATTCAGATCAGGCGAAGAGAAATGACCTAAATCTTAGATGGAAAAATGTATAATACAGAGTAAATGTGCAAAGCATTGGTTGTGGCGTGAAGTGGCAATACCATTCCACCTTGCCAAGCATGCCATGCACGAGACAGAATCTTCCCATTTTATTTTATTATTTTATTTTTTAACGTTGTTTGGTAAAAAAAGATATTTTTTTGAATATGAGTACATCTATTCTTTAAAAAATAGATAAATAAAATATTTTCTAATAATTAAAATAATAAAAAAAGTGTAAAAAGTGACAAAAATAAGGCCACCAAGTGTGCCTTCCCCTTTTCCTCTTAGCAAACACAATGCCACGTGAGTTTATTTTTCCATTCTCCTCCCCTCCTAAAAAAACCCTTTCCCCTTTTCTCTTTCAATTTTTAATATTATTTTTCAACACTTATTTTAAATTATATTAAACACTCAAACTAATAACATAAAAATAATAAAAATTTACTTCAAACTATTATTTTATTAAACTTAAAATAATTGAACATTTCATTAATAATTTAAAGGGATACACTAAATTTAAATAAAAAAAAAAAGAAATTAAGAAACTTAAAAATTGTAAAAAAAAATTTAAAAAATATAAAAATAAAACTGAAAGAAACAAAAAATTAAAGAATAAAAAAATGCAAAAAAGGAGAAAAGAAAAAAAAACTGAAACAAAAAAGACGTGGAAAAACATGAAAAGGGGAAATGGAAAGTGAAGAGAAGAAAAAAAAACACCGAAAAATGCACGGGAAAACGGGGAGGCTAGGGGATCAAGCCTATCCCGTTCCCACATAGGGTGGAGGGGAGTTCCGCTTCCCTTCCAGCTGCCACCTCATCTTCCCGTTGGTCCTTCCCGCAGCAGGCATACCGGTAGGCCTAATGACTTGTCACTGCATGACATGTTACTTCACTGACTTGTCAAACGAACTTTAATAGTTTTTATTGGTTGAAATATGTGCTACATCAACGTATGAAATTCTATTTCTTTACTTGTCATTGTTGGTACTATTGATATTTTTCACCATCAAATATCAACTACATTTGACCTGATAGCGTACAGAGCTGAAAAATAATTTTTCAAATAATTTTAGGTTATACTCCGTATTTTAAATTGTTTTTTTGAAACGTATTTTAAATTGTTGTTTTGTTCAAGATGAGTGGTTTCTTAGATGTTGCATTATACGGATTATGGAGTACATAGTAGAAGCCCTAAAACACCAAGTCACCAACAATAAGCAGTAAATTAATTAATTACAATTAAAGAAATAAATTAGCCTCAAATCTTTTACATCTCAATCAAAAAATACTCCGTACACAGTTAGAAAAGCTAGTTAATGAATATCCTGTAACTAAACCACTGTTTTAAATTAAAAATGCCACTAAAATAAGAGACACAATTTAGTCAAATAATGTTTTCCCCTAAAACCAGAATTTGAAAATGGAATCACACGTCCACACCAGCATTTATTACCGATACGATTCCGGAATTAATTCAATTTAGCTTTGCTCAAAGCACTTGTCTTCCCAAAACAACCTCCGCGTATTCGTGTAGTATATATATAAACAAAAATATACAGGCGCAGATCCCCATGAAATGCTTGGGTGCCCCTCAGCATTTTGCTAGCTAAACCTCATTCTCTTTGTTTTGTTCTTAGGGAACTTGTTTTCAGAAAGAGAGAGAGAGAGAAAAAGAAAACAAGAGAGAGAGAGAGAAATTGCAGACTGCAGCTAGAAAACAAAACCCTGAGGATGTTTTAGATGAATGTTTGATGATGAAGATAATGAGTGGTTGTTTTAAGTTTCAGGTAAATGCTTGAGATTTCTTGGGCCACAGCAAGAACTTGTTTTCAACCAAAAGAACATTAGAGAAGATGAAGTTCATGAATGATCATCATCACATCAATGCCGCTAATAATAACAGTCACTTGCTGGGTTTCTCCCTCTCGCCCGCCTTGAAGATGGAGGCTGATCACGGCGGCGCTCCGTCTGCTTGTTCAATGGCTTCCAGCTTCTACCTTTCTCCTCCGCCAGGTAGTCTCTGTTACCCTGTTGCGGAAGCCGGCGGCTTCCATTCTCCGTTGTCTCTCATGACGCTCAAATCCGACGGCTCTCTCTGTCTCATGGAAGCTCTCTCCAGATCTCAAACACATGGTGTGCATTTTCTCCCCCCACTTCAAAGATTTCTTCTTTTCCCATGCTTTTCTTGATTACGTTTCTTGGCTTTCATTTCGTAAAGATGTTTTTTTTAAAAAAAAAAAATTGCGTGTGAAAACAAAAGGTATGGTGTCTAATACAAGTCCCAAGCTCGAGAACTTCTTGGGAGGTGCAACAATGGCGGACAGTACTCAATATGGGAGGGAAACCAGTGCCCTGAGTTTGGACAGCATGTACTATCCCCAAACCCGGCAGGGCGTTGAGAACCACGGGAGGGCTTTGAGTTTCCATCTACACCCACAAACCCACCATTCCAATTACTACTACAACAACCTGCAAAGCCAAGAAATGGCAGGAAATGAGCTGAAAAACTGGGTTTCTGTGGGGCATTTTGGGCAGGACGCCCCTGTAATTTCACCAGCAGCTGGTGGGGCTGGGGGTGTTCTGAACTGTAATGACTTTCAGCCTTTGAGCCTTTCAATGAGCCCTGGCTCTCAGTCCAGCTGTGTCACTGCTGCCCCTCCTGTAAGTCAAATCTCTCCCACGGATCTCGAATGTGTGGCCATGGAGGGCAGGAAGAGGGTCTCCGAGGAGGTGACCACACCCAAACAGCCCATCCACAGGAAATCTATTGACACTTTTGGTCAAAGAACCTCTCAGTATAGAGGCGTAACAAGGTCAGTTCTTTTCTTGAATCAATGAAGTTAAAATCACTTCAAAATGTGTGTACTGTTCATACCCAGTGATGATACACTGTTTGGAATTTGGATTGGTGCAGACATAGGTGGACAGGGAGGTATGAGGCTCATCTTTGGGATAACAGTTGCAAGAAAGAAGGGCAAACTAGGAAAGGGAGGCAAGGTCAGTATGTGGTATTTTCCTATTCTACCCTCATTTCATGGTCTTTTTCAAATTTCTTCATTGTCTGACTTTCTTGTGAACTTGTTGATGTTGTTATGCTTCTTATTGCTCTAATCAACTGCTGCTGCTGGTCTATTTAGTGTATCTGGGTAAGATACTTATTGTTTTTTTTTCTCTTCTTTTGAAAATTTATTTAAAGCAGTTGGAACTTTTAAAAAACACCCTTTTGAAGAGACTAAATATGTGATTCAGGAGGTTATGACATGGAGGAGAAAGCCGCGAGGGCATACGATCTTGCTGCTCTCAAGTATTGGGGGCCTTCAACCCACGTTAACTCTCCGGTATGACTACATATATTCGATCCGCTAGTTCAAAATTTAAAACTTTATCAGTTTGATATTGTGCATTTTGTAATGAAGACAAGTTCTTTAAGCTGGTTCCTTTTGCTGCGTGCAGCTGGAAAACTACCAGAAAGAGCTTGAGGAAATGAAGAACATGACTCGGCAGGAATACGTCGCCCACCTGAGAAGGTAAGAATTGCCCATTCTCAAAGATGCATGACGATGCTAGTGTTTGTTCTTTACCGGTTTCCAATTCAGTTACGTTCCATTCGTGTTTCAGGAAAAGCAGTGGATTTTCTAGGGGTGCCTCGATGTATCGAGGAGTGACAAGGTACGTTCTTTATTTTCTTGAAACTTTTAGTTCCTTCCAATTTTAGCATTAATAACAGTTCTAAGCTCCAAACTTTAATAGGCATCATCAACATGGACGTTGGCAAGCTCGAATCGGCAGAGTTGCAGGGAACAAGGACCTCTATCTTGGGACATTCAGTAAGTTTTTTTTAATATAATTTTTTTAGAGAACTCAGATAAATTTAAGGTTCTTTGATTTGTAGTGTATTCTTGGTGAACTGCTATGGGTTTTTGTCTCTTGGTCATTTCTAGTTACTAATCGAGTTAAAAGAATCAGTAAAAAAAAAGAAGAAAAAGTCTATAATGTGTTCCAAATGTGAAAAAAAGTGAAAGCTGAAGTGTTTGGGACATACTCCGTAAAAAGCAGACATTTTTCTTGGAAAAAAACAATAACGCTGCAGTTTTTCTTTGTTTACTTTAGACTTTGCAAAGCAGCTGTAGTTGTAAATTTGAGTCTCTCTTTTGAGCTGTTCCGACTTTGACTATATCATTACGCTTTTTTAACAAAAAAAATGCATTGTTTTTTTAGTCTAATACTCTTGTTAGAATATAGAACGTTTTCTGGACTTACAATTCAAGCATTGGAAATGCTAGGGATGCACCAAAATGAGTTACCTTATTTGTACACCAAAACTCCACAGACACACAAGCAAAGACTTGCGTGTCTACATGTGTCAGGGAAGGCTCGGTCGAATCAGTTCTTTGACATAATATCCAAACATCATTTACATAAACGTCACGAGTTTAAATTTTATCGTCACCGAGTTTTGAAGGGGCTCGAATTTTTGGTTTTCAGGCACCCAAGAGGAAGCAGCAGAAGCATATGATATAGCTGCAATCAAATTCCGGGGCGTTACGGCGGTCACCAACTTCGACATGTCAAGATACGACGTTCAGAAAATCCTGGCCGGCAATTCGCTGCCGAGCGGGGAAGTAGCGAGGCGGAACAAAGACCGGGATCCAGCAGCCTCCGCTGCCGAGGGGGGTAACCTGTTGTTAGCTCTGCCGGAGGATTGGAGGTTGAGCGGAGGCGGCGAGGAGGAGAAGCAGTGCTTGTCGGTGGCGGCAATGCAGAGCCTGATAGGGATGGAGACGAACAAGATGATGATGATGATGAGCTGCCAGTTGTCCAACCCTTCCTCCGCCGTGACCAGCCTCAGCTCCTCCAGGGAGGACAGCCCCGCTCCTAATAATCATCCCCAGGCGGCGGCGGCGGCTCTGAGGCCAGTCGTCCCGTCGTCCATGCCCAACTTCCCCCTCTTTGCTGCTTGGAACGAGTCCTGACTCTACGGACTCGATCTTCTTCCCTGTAAAACTTTGATCCCAAGAAAAAGAAAAGGGCAGTTTTTGGAATGAAACATTTTGGTAGTCAGTCTGACCCCGCCATTGTATTATTGTATCATAACTTGTTTTTCTTTTTTCTTGCATTTTGTTGCTTCTGGGGAGTGCTCAAAATAATGCAGGAAATTTTAACAAAAGAAAAAAAAAAGAAAAGGTGAACAAATTGGGAATGGTTCAATTTGACCAAATCATGGGTTCCTTCAATAATCTTGAAGGGGCGGGTACATTAAAATGTGATATCCAAGTGTTTGTGTTTGTCTGGTGTACAAATGTGGTACTCAAAACTTTAGGTGTATTCAATCTTGAATTATGCCATCATTATTATTCTTGTGCTTTCTCAAAAGCCAAAATGGACGACATTCCTTTTCATTTATTCAAAAAGGGGCGTGAGAGACAGAGAAAAAGAGGTCCGGTGACGAGTTTATGGGTCCAATTTAATGATTATAGATCACACTCATTAGATTCTCTTCCAGATTTCCCACCCATGGCCTCTTTATTTCATCCCATTCTTATGTGTATTTATCCAAAAAAAGTACTCCGGGGTAGTTTCTTTCGTGGAGAACGGTAATGGATCTGTTTCCATAATGAACGCTTAATGGTGTGAACACAAAGGAGAAAGAAAAAATTAGGAGCAGATTAGACATTTCCACATTAAACATACCTTTTTATTTTGCAATTTATTCAATTTTTGTTCATACCCACAAGTGGTAGACACAAAACATTGGGAGTATAAGAGCGCAATGGCAAGACAAAAAAATGGAGTGACAAACGGCGATGATGTGGACTCTTTGAATCAATCAAAAATAATCCGGTCAGCGTGTGACAAGTGAGTGAAATAACAAAAAAGTTAATTATTATCTTTTTTAATAAAATAATTGTAATTCTTCTTTTTAAAAAAAATTCTTCTATATACGATGTTACTAGTATTGATAACTGAACTTGTTACTCGCGCGGATCCAATTCTTCTGGATATTCATACTTTTAATTGTATAAGATGTTACCGGTATTTGAAGATGTGCAAGAGCTTGGCATGCCATTGCCTCGCCATTGCCTTAGCTCTAACATTTGGGTGTAGACAAAAATGATCCATATAAGTGTTGATAAAAATTGCATTGACTAACTATATTACTATCAAAGAAAATAGACAGTTCAAAAAGTCATTTACTTTATTTTATCAAAATCCAAAATAAAAAATCATTTTTTTGGATTCATGGGAGAATGTATTTGAGATGACCCCTTTATTAATGTCGGTCTAGCCAGATAAAAAATAATTTGTTCATGAAAATAGTACTCCCTCCGTACCCCTATATTTGTCCACATTTGACTTTTGGAACTGTTCATCTAAGCACTTTGATTCATCAAATTCTCTCAATGTATAGGCCTAAATATAGTCATGTGTGATTTTGTTTGATTTGTCTTAACATATAGATTATTAATATATAATTTTTATAATTTTTTAATATACAAATTACAAGATAAAATAGATTAAAGAAGTGCATTGGATGATGTGCAAAAATGAAAGTGGACAAATACAGGGGGACGGAGGGAGTAATACGACAAAATTCAAATAAAACGGAAGGCCTATTCATACTCCCTATAGTCCGTATATACTTTTTGAAGTCCCAATTAGGTCATGTTCTCCTTAATTTTATTACTGTATTATTTATTCTATTTGGAATCAGATTATATCAGAAATAGTTTTAAGTATAAATAAATTCAAATCAGATTAAATAACAATTTATTCTAATCAGATCAGAACTATTCAGATCAAACAAAGAGAACATGACCTTACTCGATATGCAAAGGAAATAAACACTCCAAATTTTTACTCCCTCCGTCCCAAAAAGATTTACACGTTTCAAAAAAATTGCGTCCCACAATCCCTTACCCATTTCTATTAAAAAACCACTTTTACCCCTTACCTTTTCAAACCCTACCTATTACATTATACTTTTTTCTAATAATCTACACATCACATCATACTTTTACCCATCACATCAAGTGTATTTTTGGAGAGTCAACACAAAATTATTCCTTCCTTAATTTCTATTTTAGTCAAAACGTATCCATCTTTATGGAACGGAGAGGGTATTTGATTGCCGGAAAAAACATTTTGTGAATATACTAGGAAAATGCTATATGTACCCCGAGTTTGTACACCGGGTGTACACCAAATAAAAGGTTACCCTACCCCACCCTCCATTTACCCATTTTTTCCCTTCTCTCCGCCCCCACCCCTCTCTCTCTCTCTCTCTCTCTCTCTCTTCCGATCAATTTCTGACGGGTGTGCACGATGTGCGTTCATCTTCTTGTTCCAATTCCTCAGTAACAGTGTCGCCATCTTCGTTTTGCTCCTTCGTCTACCACGTTGCCCTCTACTCCAAGCCTTCGTCTTCGCACTTCCGCACAGGTAAATCAAATATGGTTTGGTTCATTGTTATTTCCGAATTTGTTCATTTTCGATGGAGGTTTTGATTTTCCAATTTGATTAAGGCAAAAATTGAATTTGATTTTGTTCACAGATCTAATTTTGTGTACGCTTGCATATAGTTCTTGGCAATTTTATTTTGTGCATACACTAAATTTCCCAGTTTACTTTTTTAATACTGCACTAGGTAAAATTTTATCTAATTTATTTTCAATTTGCTTCAATAACATGATTATCTTACCGAAATAGTGATTGAAGCTGCCAAATTTGTAAGCCTAAACCTATACCTTTTGGTGTTTTTTCTTTGTTTGCCACTTTTTTATTCCCTTCTTGCTTCCAATAAATCTTGACCTCTCTTATAAATAAAGAAAAGTAGAAGTTGATTTAATGTGAATTTATTTGTCATATACTTATAACAGTACTTGAGTTAAATTGGGTTTAATGCTCAACAGCTCAATTTTCGAATGGTTCACTGCCTTTTACTTTTTTTTCACATGCTTAAAGCACTTGCATAAAATATGTAATCAGTATTGTTTTTTCGCATAAAATGTTTGTGATTCATTGAACACAGACACTCATTGCCTGTTTCATCTGGATAAAAATTGCATCGATCTAATACGCCAAATTATCCTATATAAAAAGTATTTCACAGTTTTCCAAAGCAAGAATGAAATTTACAATTACCACTATTTAGTTACAAAGATTCTTAATGTCTGTAAGTATTGATACATAGACATTTATGATCTGTGTAACATTGAAGAAAATTACAGCAGTCAAATATGTCAAAAAATCCAATAACAATAATATCTTACAATTTTTCCGATGGTGTAGAAAAGTTACAATAGGCACTATCAAGTCATATAGATAATTAATGTCAGTAATTTTTTGAAAACAGACACCTAGTGTCTATGTACCCTGAATAAAATTGCTCCGCCATCTCAACTAGATTCCATCGCTCCAGTGACGCTGTTGAAGGAGAAGAAAGACGATGTGGCAATAGGGGAGGAACGGGCGTTGACAACGAAGAAGATTGGCGGGGAGGGGAAGAGGATCGATCTCATGATATAGATCCTGTAGCGGTGATGATGAAGGCATGGTGCTGCGTATAATTCAAGACTCAACTTTAGCTCTTTGGTTGTATAACCTCAGGCTTTTGGGTCGTTAGGTCTCATTGGCTTTGTTTTTTTGTATGTGTTAGCTCTTTATGTTTTACATTACCATCCATACAACTGGATATCGACTCAAAAAAGTGTACATATTTCATGTTTGTTTCGTAAAACTCTTTATTTGTGAGACAAAAATCATGATTGAACTGCTTTTCTTACGCACCTAAGCAGCTCAAGAATCTTGATTGAATTGCTTTTCTTAAGCACCTATGCAGCTCACAAACATTAGTGTATGTGAGTTTGTAATCACAAACATTACGTGTCTGTAATTGATTAGAAATAGATGTTTATTGTTCTCCATGTATTTAATATATGAAAATTGCACTTGTTAAATATACCAAATAATACAATAATAATAATATTTCATGATTTTTTCTTATATTGTAAAAATAAACTAAGTACGGAGTATGTTTTGATCACATAGACAACAAGCGTATGTAATTTATCGTAAACAGAAACTTATTGTCTGTAAAACCTAAATACAAATTTACATCTGTCAAATATACCACATAATGTTATCATAAAAAATGTTTCACAATTTTCTCTAGATTGTAAAAAAACAATTATAATTACTAGTGTATAGTTACACAAACACTAAATATCTATAATGTTTGATACACATTCATTTATTATTTGTGTAATTTAGATGAAAATTTCACCCTTCAAATCTACGAAATAGTACTGTACCAAGAACATTTCAGAAATTTTCTTATTACAATCAATACTGTTTAGTCACACATACACTAAAAGTCTTTCTTTTCTTGAACACAGACATTTGATATTTGTGTAATCTGAATCAAAACAGACCTTTACTCTCCGTGTAAATATATTTCACAAACAAGGAATGTCTGTACTATTTTAGTCACACAGACAAATTAAGTCTGTAACTCTTTCAACACAGATACTTCAAATCGTTTTAACTTTGATGAAATTTGAACCCCTTAAATTACCAAATACGGAGTAATCAAGTATGAAGAATATTTTATAATTTTCCATATGTTGTCAAAAAGAAAAAGAAACTGCAATTAACATTGTTTAACTCAGAGACATTAATACTTTGTAGTTCATCGATCACAGACAGTACATGTTTGTGTATCGCGAATTGAAAATTGCAGCACCATCTCCACCAGAATCAAACCCTTCTGTGAAGTTGTTGAAGAACAAAGACTCAGTGACGGTTGGGGAGGAGTGACCGATGACGAGAAGCAGGCGGTAGAGGAGGAGTTGATGCGGCGGCATAGGACTTGATGAATGCGTGGTTCACCGCTATGATCCGATCTAGATCTGATGGTGATGATGCCTCTGTTGTGAGGCTTATGGGTTGGCGAGGGGGAAGCCCAGACTGTGCATCTTCTAGGCGGCATGGAGTATCCTATGAAGCAACTCCTCTGGCGACGATGATGAAGGCATGGTATTGCAGCGTCGGCCACCGGCGAGAGTTGAAGGGGTAGAGAGAGAGAGTGATGGAGATTAGATCTGAAAATGAAAGGTGGGGGATGGGTTATCCATTGAGAGGGAGGGGTGAGTGTATATGGTGTACAAGATGGGGTACACGAGTGGTGTACCCCTAGC